TCCAGCGGTTCCACTCGGGAGGGAACCGCGACCGTGGAAACACTGTGGAAACAGAAGCAGCAGCAGCCCGGGACAACCACTGCCCTGTGTGTGGACACGGTCAGGAACTCTGCCCCACTCCACCCCCCACCCCCACCCCGGCTCCTTCCGTGGAGGGAGAGGGGCTGCTGTCGACAGGCACACACACATGGACAGGGAGGAGGGGAGGGGGCGTCCCGTCCGGTCCAAAAGGCCCAAGGTGCTCTGGGGTGCGTGCCCGGGCAGGCCTTTCCCCTTCCTCCGCCAGAACGGACTTTGGGCTGTTTCCCTCCATTGTGCGGTTTCCTCCAGTGTCTCACTGCTGAGCGGGGATGGGGGGGTGGGGAGCTTTCCAGCCTCTGTTTCTGCCCAGTCCCCCCCCCCCTCTGCCAACCAGGTCTGCCTGACCAAGGTCCCCTCCTCCTCCTCCTCCCACACTCCTCCTTCGCTCAGTCTGAATGCCACCCCCCCACCTGGCTTTTCTGTCTTTTAAGGCCCGTGCGAGGGGTGGGGGGCTGTTTCTCCCGTGTGCTTTTCCTTCAGCCTCCCCACACCTGACACCATCCACGTTTCCTCCAGGTCCTCTCAGAAGGTGGGACAGGAGGGTCTTGCGGGAAATGCGGCAGGGAGGCCGGGAGGGAAGACTCGGTGTGGTGTGGTGAGGCAGGAGCAGGGAAGCAGCAGACCAGGAGGCAAACTGGCTCTACCAGTCAGTCCACTGCGAGCCAGGGAAGGCAGGGTCCCTGAGATGGCGCCACAAGCCATGAGCCCGTGTGAGGAACCAAGGCCACCGTCAGCCTCCCTCAAAAGAGCGGCTGGGAAGAAGAGCGAGACGACCCTCGGGGGGGGGGGGCTCCGGGTGGGCCGGTCAGTTGCGGCTCCTCTGGCCTGACCGGCAGCGGCTCTCCAGTAGCAGAGGTCTTCGCGCACCAGATCCCTTCACGAGAGAGATCCTGCCAGGGCCTTGAGGTTGCAGGGCTGCCTTTCGGCTGCGCTCCTGCAGAGTGCAGAGGGGGGTTGGACTGGATGACCGGCGGGGTCCCTTCCAACTCCAACATTCCAGGATTCTGAGACCTGGGGCCTTCCCCTTGCAAGGGAAGAGCTGGGCTGCTCCCCGCCAGTCCCACAGTGGCCCCATTCACACGTGGCAGTGGGCACACCAACATCCATCCTGCATGTGTGTAAGGAAGAGCCAACGAAATGAAGCCGGGGACCGGCACTTGGGTGGATGAGAAGCACTCGGTGGGTGCAGAGGCACAAAGAGAAACCCGACAGCAATGCTCCCTCTAAGCCGTGGAGTCTGGTGAGCAAAAAAATCTACTTTGTCAGTGACTGGCATTAAAGCCGTGAGCGAGCGAGGGAGCGATTGGGCCGCTGCATACATGAGTTTGCTCTTCTGGAGCCCATATCCTTCCTGAGCGGAGACAAAGATGTGTGAGGCAGACGTTTAAAAACCGTGAGCTAGCACACACTCACTCAGCTTAGAGGGAACACTGCCCAAGCCTGACTGCATCATTTACTGGCATGTGTGTGCGCCCCGTGAGCTCGGAGGCAGGCAGGCAGGCAGGCAGGCAGGCAGACAACCTGCCAAGCCTGACCCGCCCCTGTGTGCCTGCAGGCGCCGGAGGAGTCTCGCCCTCTCCAGCTGCCTCCCGGAGCCAGAGGAGAGCGGCGTTTGGGGCGGCCCTCTGCACGAACAGCGCGCCGGGTGGGGTGGAGCGGGGCGGGGGCCGTCGGCGGTGCTCCTTCTCTTCCGCTGGAGACGAGCCCCCCCCCCCGGTCCCCTCCCCGCGGGACTCACCGACGGTGGTGATGAGAGTGCTGCAGAAGAAGAAGGCGGAGGCGAAGTCCCAGTTGGACGGGGCGGCCGAGGCGTTGTGCAGGAGGGCCACGCCGTGGCGGTTGGCGCTGAGGACGGCGCCCAGGAAGCGCTCGAGGGCGGCCTCCGGCAGGCACGGGCTGCTCTCCAGGAAGGCCGCCTTCAGCTCCCGCAGCTCGGCCCGCAGGCGGCTCTCGTAGGGCCGCTCGACGGCCGAGATGACCAGCGCGCCCAGCAGCAGGTAGCCGGCGTAGCCCAGCGCGAAGAACGCCAGCAGGGCGCAGCGCCGCATGGCCCGCCGACGGCAGAGAGACAGACCGGCCGCCCGCCCGCCTCCGGGAAGCCCCAGCAGCGCCGCCGCCGCCGCCGCCGACAGCCCCAGCCCCTCCCCGACGACGACGACGACTCCGCCCGCCCACCGGGCGGGGCCCTGGTGGGAGGGCCTGTGCGGGCAGGCGCCGCGATCAGCCTCCCCC